TGGTGAGGAGGTTGCCTGGGGCGCTAGCTGCACAGGGCGTCGGAGTCGGGGGGGCCTGCGGTCCCTGGGGCGCTGGGGCAGGGGGTGAGGCGGGGTAGGCGGAAGTGAGGCGTTGCTGGAGGCAAAGAGGTAAACTGCGAGCGGTCGGCCGCGTGGAATGGAGAGCGCAAAGAACTTCACCTTGGGGACACAGAGTGGGGTGTTTGCCAGAGCAAATAGTACAAGCTCTAGAGCAAGGCAGGCCTCAGGCTGTGAAAGTCCTGGCTCCGCAGGTCGCGTGGCCCCCCGCGGCAGGCGTTACCCCTCCACCTCGCTTTGCTGCTGGGGAGCTGAGGGCCTACGGTGGCGCTGGCCGACAGCTGATGAGTTGCTGGTCGGGCTCACAGCCCAGATCTGACCGCTGGGTCCCGTCTGCTTCATCTCTAACCCGTCTGTCTGCAACATGGCATTCCACGCACCCTGCACGCGGTGGCCGCCAAGCTTATGGGGCAGCAGTGGAAACCACACCTGATACGTAGCACCTTGTTCCTTAGCGTTATTCTCTGTGGAATTGGCTATCATTTTTGCAGTCTTAAACACAAATGGACTGGGGCTGCCGTGTTTCAACAAAATTGGCATATAAAATAAGAAAGGTACTTAAAAAGCAAAGGGGGATCTCGTACACTGCTGGTGAAATGCAAAATAGTACAGCCACTTCGGTAAACAGTTTGCGTATGTCCAAAGAGTTATGTGGACACGTTTATTCGGTAAAAACGGAGGGGGGGGGGAAGGGGGACAAAAACCCATCACTGGTCTGTCGATAAACAAAAGGTGGTCTACCCATACAATGGAATACTACTTGGCAGTAAAGAAAAGGAATGAAGTCCTAATACATGCAACAATGTGGGGAGTCTCAAAAGCCTTATGCCAAGTGAAAGAACCTGGATGCAAAAGGTGACGTGCGGTAGATTCCATTTACATTTCATTCTGGGAAAGGAAAAACTAGAGCAATAGAAATAAGATTGGAGGTGGCAAAAGAGGGTTGACCTCAAAATGGCGCAAGGCGACTTTCCAGGGGTTGGAAATAGTCTCTATCTTGATTTTGGTGCTTATACAACTGTATAGTTTGTCAAAGCTGAAAACTGTATGAGATCCTGAATCTGATCATCCCTTTTGTGGTTCAGTGGACTTTGGATCGTTCCCTTCAGTAAACAGTAACTTTCACTGAGATTATTAGATGTAAATCCTGATGCCTCATGATCCAGAACCAAAATGTGTTTAATGTACATCATGTGAATAGGCTTAATGCTGCAAGAGTTGTTTAAGGAAGAGAACATTTGGGTGATCTAGGGTCTTCTTTCATATGTTGCTCAAAAGAAATTAAAGTTAACATTTCTTGCATTGTTATAGCCACAAAACGAGTATATTGAGTTACACCGTAAGCGCTATGGATACCGTTTGGATTACCATGAGAAAAAGAGAAAGAAGGAAGGTCGAGAGGCTCATGAACGTTCAAAGAAGGCAAAAAAGATGATTGGTCTGAAGGCTAAGCTCTACCATAAACAGCGCCATGCTGAGAAAATACAAATGAAAAAGACGTAAGTGGTCATCTGTTGTAGCAAGTTAATGTCTTTTGAGTAATAGTTATTAAAAATGATAATCCTGAATCTTTTCCCTTCTTGGTAGTATCAAGATGCACGAGAAGAGAAACACTAAACAGAAGAATGATGAGAAGACTCCACAGGGAGCAGTGCCTGCGTATCTACTGGACAGAGAGGGACAGTCCCGAGCTAAAGTACTTTCCAATATGATTAAACAAAAACGAAAAGAGAAAGCGGTAAGCAATAAAAACATATTTCTTTCCTTTTTTGTTCAGGAGAATTATTTAAATTCAAATGTGACGTTCTTTGTTTGCTCAGTTTAATTGGAAACCTGAAGTCCAACTAGTTCCATTTAGATGTTGAGGACTCTGTAATTTTATTTTGTGTAAAATGTTTAAGTAAAATTGCTTTCTCGTCAGCCAGCACATTTTAGTATTTAACACTTTTCTTGAAAATTTATTTAAAAACCCCATCTTTAGTTTTTGAATCTCAAATTTAGTATTTTAGTAGCTTCCTGTACTTAACTAATGCTGTGCTGTTGCAGAGAAGGCTACAACTGCTTTGTTCGTGCTGCCCTGCACTATGTCAAAATTAGTTAAACTGGATAGTGAAAAACATCCCCAAGTGGTTGAACATAAGTAAAAATTCAAGTTTTAAAAAATATTGTGCTTAGTGTTAAATTCTGTTAAAAAACAGAAAAAGACATATTATTTTTACACATCTGAGGATAGACAAATCCAGGTAGCAACAGAATATGTGGTAACTTAATATTTAAAGAACTTACAGTCCCCAAATTTGTTTTTTTTTAAATGTTACTGCTTGTTTTTTGGTGTGTAATTATGCAAAATTAGAATAGTAGAACTTTAGCACCAAAAGAAACTTCAGACATTATGTAGTTAACCCCTCCTTATTTTAGAAATGAAAAGACTGTGGAGTCCAGGAGGTTGTAAATCAGTCTGCAGGGTCACGTATCTATGAGATGGTAGAGTAGCCTCTAGATCCTGTGTGTTACTAATAAATCCAGAATTATTTCTCCTGCCTTACTATTTTAGTTTTTTCATAGAATTTGCATTCTAGGGAAGTACAAAATATCTGGTGATGATTTTGTCTTACAAGTAATGCAATCTAAAAATCCATTTGAGGTAGAAATACAAAGATATGTCAAAAGGTGGAGACAGTCTTCCAGTTTTACACTTTTAACTTAGTAGTCCGCACATAAAATGCCTAGAGAAGTCACTGCCTTATTACAGGTGGTATTTTTCGTCCATAACAAGGTTTTAAGATTTTTACCTTAAGCAAACCATTTCATTTAATGTACCTATGATATGTAAACCGGTTCCAATTATTTGGGGATTTGTGAGGAGACAATGCAGACCTCTAGAAAACATTGGAGCCAAAATCTTGTCGATTAAGGAAAAATTTGCATTACTGCTCTGTACAACTAGAACATACTTGACTTCTTATTCTCGTTGTCTTTTACTAACAATGTAAATTTTAACTGTTCTCTATTTTTAGGGAAAATGGGAAGTCCCTCTACCCAAAGTTCGTGCCCAGGGAGAAACAGAGGTATTAAAAGTTATTCGAACAGGAAAGAGAAAGAAAAAAGCATGGAAGAGGATGGTTACTAAAGTCTGCTTTGTTGGAGATGGCTTTACTAGAAAACCACCTAAATATGAAAGATTCATTAGGCCAATGGTAAGTCCCTGGCAAGAGTGCAGTGGCTTAAATATTAGTTCCTGTGTTAACCTGGGTAAAGTACAATTTCCTGAAATTCATAAACTGATACAAAAAACAAGTTGAAAGACATTTTAAGGCTATTTTTGTTATTTTAAGTTAGTGAAAAAGGATTGCTTAGGACTTTTTCACTACCATAAAAAAATCTTGTCTTCGGCTTCAAAAGAGATTTGATATGAAAAAGATTTTCATCACATTGTTTGTAGAATCATTTTCCACGTAAAGTAATTTTACTCGTTCAGTAAGTGACCTACTATATGCCTGACTCTTGTCTGAGAACAGTTTGAAAACCTGAGTAGGATTTTTTTCAAGTCAATTCTGGTTTAGTAAGAGGAGTAGCTTAATGCTTTTGAAAACATTCAGTATGCAATCACTGCAAAAATTAAATTTTCTTTCTGATGATAGCAGTAATGGCCAACCCCCCCGCCCCCCAATATAATTGAAGATACATTTTTACAAAATCCTTTGAACAGACTAAATTATTCTCCCAACTGGATATCCAGCCTGCTTAGAGGAATGGAATCGGGAAAGTTGGCAGTGTTACTCTAGCTCTGAACCTGAATAATTTTTAATGGATTAAAATGTCAAACGGCCTGTTTATGTAAATAAAGATCTGTTGGAACACAGCCATGCCTGTTTATTTACATATTTCCCATGGCTATTTTTTTCTGCAGAGTTTGAGTAGTTTCAATAGAGAGCATATGGCCTGCAAAGCCTAAAATGTTCATTTAGGTCATTTACAGAAAACACCCACCGATCTCTAGATTACATCATAGACTCCCCTTATTTTGATTTCATGTGCAGAATCTTTTAAGTACATTTTGGTAACCTTATCGGTTCTACAGGGAGAGAATATACCAGTCAGGCTGCTCTAGGCTTTCAGTAGCTTGACAGAGATAGATCTTATTGTGAATTAGTCAGATGGCATTCTGAATGGTCTAAGTTTCTTACCAGCTTGATTAATGAGTCCTTTACTAAGAACTTGATTTAGTGTCGTTTGCCACCTACCTCCATCTAGGTAATTGTCTCAGAGACTACATGTAAGAGACTACAAAGTAGTAAGAGACTGTATGTAAGAGACTACAAAGTGTGGTGGCTTTTCAACACGCTACACTCCTGAAGACCGTATCTAGGTGACTGGGTGACTGTGGTCTCTTCCAGTTCTTGACCAGTGTTACTATCAGTGCAAAGAAAGCTAACAACTTTCATCATGGAAGTTAGCTGAGGTATATAAAGCCTTAGAATCAGGCTGCTTAAGTTTGATTCCATCCACACACCATTTAACTTAGAACAAGTCATTTAACCTCCTAATCCTTGTTTTATTGTTTTTTAAAAAAAAAATAGGGGGAATTGTATTTATCCTGTAACTCGGGTTTTTAGTCTGTAGAATTGGATTTTTATTTGATGCCTTAAGATTTTACATTTAGACTTGTTTGTTTTGTTTTTGAGACTTGGAAAAGATAAAGCAAAAAAGACCACTACTCATTGTTAACATTTTGGACTCAAACATTCTTGTGTTTGACTTACTAGGGCTTACGTTTCAAGAAGGCCCATGTAACACATCCTGAACTGAAAGCTACCTTTTGCCTGCCGATACTTGGTGTAAAGAAGAATCCCTCATCCCCACTTTATACAACTTTGGGTGTCATTACCAAAGGTACTGTCATCGAAGTGAACGTGAGCGAGTTGGGCCTTGTGACACAAGGAGGCAAGGTTATTTGGGGTAAGTAAATTTTTTAGTATGGGGATGCTGCTCTTTTAATCCAAGTTTTAAGTTAACATAAAGTACATAGCAAATTTTAACACAGAAAAGCTAGATAAGTTCAAACTTGATGTAAATCAGATTTAAATCTTTAGGAAGAGTACTTTTTTGCAGGAAAAGTAGTTATGAATATAATTATTTTCAATGTAGCACATTGGTTTCAGTTATATAAGAACTACATTGCTAGGATTTTGATTCTATACTTAAAAAGGCATTAATTACAAGGGAAGCAGGTGCAAAGATATGATTATATCTAAAAAATATTGGAAGAAAATACAATAAATTAACCATGAGTGGGGGAAAGGAGGCATACATCAAACAGCCACATTATTTCAGTAATAACTAAAAACTATAATGTGTCATGTAATAATTATAAATTCTTTTCTCCTCATTTTCTTATTTTTCTGCTTTTAGTGCCCAGGTATTTCTAAACTTTAATGTTCTTTGAAAGAGAAGAGTATGTTCTGTAACTCTTAAAAGTGGTAAATTAGAAATATTGGGGCAAAGGTTATCTTCTTTAAAATTAATTTTTATTAGCTAACATCCCTCTTTTTCTCCATTTTGTTTCCTTAGGAAAATATGCCCAGGTTACCAACAATCCTGAAAATGATGGATGCATAAATGCAGTCTTACTGGTGTGACAGCAGTTTCATACAAGTAACTCCTTATAATTACTGCAGACTATGCGCCAATCAGGAAGACTCTCTTACTGCGATGTTTCTGAGTACTATCTCACAGCTTACATGTCTGCAGTCATCAAGAGAACTATTTATTCTGTTGTAAAGAATATTAAAATGGCCCAGTTTTACAAATTGGTCTTTATTTTGGGGTGTGTTTATCATTTAGATGTTCATGAAACTGAATGATTAAAAAAAAGCAGTTATAGCAATATCCTGCTCCATCAGTATCTGTATTAAGAAGGAGGTACTCAGCAATGCAGATCTGTCATTCTGAAAAAGCCAGTGGAGTTGAAAACACACCTTTTATCCTAAGATGGGGATAAACGTGGGGCCTAGGCTACAAAACTGTCATCTAAAACCTCACCCCATCATGCATCATTTATCCTAAAGAGATGCAGCATAACGCACTTGGTAACGTTTGTTAAGTTTATCCAGTATTCACATTCAAGGTATATGAGAAAAGGTACATTACACTAAATCAAATTCAGAAGAACTTATTTAGGTAAATCTTTTCACCTGTAATCCTTAACTTCTTCAGACAGTAAGTCAGTAGTTAGTATTTTAAACATTTTTTTCTCTCATTATATAGTAAGACCTACTTGGAACTGTTTTCTACTTAAACCATGAAAAAACACACCAAAATGTTTATACTTTTAGCATTTTCTATATTATGAATTCAGGGTAGTCTATATCTGTAGAATAGGAAAAATTTGTTTAAATAATTCCAGAAAAAATGATTGCACTGATGCCCTTAAAGACATATATTTGTAGTCACATAAGAGAAAAAAGATCATGTTTTTTAGGGTTGTGACTAAGTCAAAGCACTTTTGTGATATGAATTATATGTTTGTGGCTTTGAGCTTTAGGGTGGTTCATATTATATTAATCGATAATTGTTTATTTTTTAAAGTCTGATTTGAAGGTACAACCAGTATGATTAATTGTGCCTTTAACAAAATCATTTAATGTTTAAACAAATTCAGTATCTAAACACATCATCAGTGAAATTAGGGAAAAGGTAAAAAAATTTCAAAACACAGACCAAGAAACAATCACAAAATATAGGTTTAATTACTACTTTAAACTTAAAAAAAAAAAAACTATCAAGAAAACAAACGAGTACTTCGTAAGACTTGCTATTCTGAGTAATGTAATAGCTTCTAAGTTCTATAAACAGAAGTTTTAGAATACAGACACTTAGGAAAAGAAAGGCTAGGCTATTCCTGGGAATGACTACCCAATATAATACAATTACTTTGGGATGACAGAAGCTGAACCTTTCTTACAATTAGATTTTAACATGATTTTGCCACAAACAGAAAAGGGGAATGTATGAATGACTTAGGTTTTGGAAGGTGAAAGCAAAACACTGGCTAAAGTACGCACTTGATACTACAGAACTGAGGTCTGCTTATTTTTTAGAACCAAAAATAAACAACTTAAATATCTTACACAAAGAAAGCTTGATATTAAATATGCAAATAGAAGCATAACTAATCACACCCACGAAATACTGGGTAACATCTTAAACAGTATTGATGTTAGCGGACATACAAGGCAGAAATATATTTGTAAAATACTATTACACAAATGAGTAATGTTAGTATAAATTCTTTATTTACACCTTAAGAATTTGTTTGTTTGCTGGTGTGACCAAATTTTAGAAGGTAATCCCTAAGGGTAAAACAGAACATAATAGATATTAGATACTAGGTAAACTCAATTTGATGCAATCCTAAACCTCCCAGCTATTTTTCTAAAGTCACTGAAACCATTTTAGGTAGTGTAGTGTTCTGGTGGTCAGCAAAAAGTGGACCATCAATCACTAGTAGCTGTTACCTTCCTGTGAGAATTCTCTACTCAATGGAAACACCACAAATATAGACACAATTTAAGTGGATGACTGACATTGTCATGCTATTAGAGTCTATAAAAAACAATAATAGACCCTCTCACCTTTAAAAGTTGTAAGGACCTTTATAATTCTTAAATATACTTATTTCTGTGATGTCTAGCAACTGAACAAACTTAAAAGTAGAACTAAAATTGTGCTAGTAACTGCTTTACATTACACAAGGAAATATATACGTATTTACACAAAGAAGTTAACTCCCTTCTCCACAAATAAGACTTCTGAACAGAAAACAATTCACAAAGGACTGGAGGATGTGCCTGGACACCCACCTAGACCAGCCCGTTGAAGTCGGATTTCTGTCTTCTCTTTCTGAAAGTTTTACTAATGACTTGCAAACACAAGTATCTGATGAAGTTTCATTCAGTCTCCTTGTTGAGGATATATTTTGTTATAAATTCTATGCTCACTGAGTATAGAAGTCATTTACTGAAAGAACATGCTACGGAACATGAACATTAGGTTTTTCCACGTGACTCAGCTTTTTCTCTACCATCTATAAATGCCAAAATAACATTTTCTGTCAGATAATATGCAACAAAGTCTTGTGCGCTGAACAAAATGTTTTGAAATGGCCTAAAACGCGCATCTTGTTTAAGAATAAACCGAACAAGTTGAACACGTTTACACTGTTGCTAACGACCACATACGAATAACTAAACATTTGTTTGTAAACTCAGCAACCATACTCACACAGCAAGAGTGAACTCAGTCTTCTTAAATTACACTTTTTTAAAGAACTATTTTAAAGAGAACAATGAGTAATCCAAGTAAAAAAGTAAAATAATATTGTATTTTTATCTATTATAAGAATTTTAAATGGAAAGGTTAAGAATAAGAACTTACTAAATCTTAATCTTGTATTTCCCTATTTGTGGTTTTAACAAAAGTTTTTCATAAAATGTATAACAACATAAACATTCGCTAACTATTACTACTTACACTTTTTCTTTCACTTATTTAGCATTTTTTGAGAAAACAAACAGCCAAAGTGCTGTAATTTTCATTTAACGTGAAATCTGGTTTACCCCACCAATAATTAAAGAAAATTTGGAGATACAAGTACTCAAAATTTTATAATGAATAGGAGGGTTTGCTATTTCGCCTGCTTAAAGATTTTAGCTTAGATCTTTCTAAAATATCAACATCCCAAAATAAAATGTAATGACATCACCTGACTGGACTAAAAAAATCAACATCAATCCTTAGCACTTCAAATAATGACAAAAAGTCATAACATATTTATTCATTAAGGACCAAGCTTGTTTTGAAAACAATCTAAGTGGTCTTTTCAAAGCATTCTTCAACTTAAGTACAGATCTGAGTATACATAATACTTCCAAAGAGCATTATTGTTTCGAGATTCTCTTTGGATCCTAAATATTACCATTTTGTTCATTTCTAAATAAATTACTCTACAAAAATTAACAATTGAGGGATTTGTTATTATTTTTTTAAGTTTTCCTAGGCGAAGGCCTTTGCTATGGCAACACAATGAGCAGGCTGACTCGTAACCTATCCGCACAGAACAAACCAAGAGTAAGCAAGACCCAAGGGACGATCAAAGCCTCCAATTTGACTTAAGCTGTGGTGACCACAGCTCCTAGGGCAGCTTTATTGCTGCCATCTAGGTCTATGATTGCGGGGCACAGTTTCATACCTACCCAAAAATGATGCCAAGGGCATAAGCTGGCAGGCAGGCAGGCAGATCTTTTGACAGGAATCACTCCGTGAGTTAGCGAAGTGGATGAAAGCTGAGAGGAGTATAAAGATTCTAGAATAAAGCAGTGGCAGGATTAAGGAGGAGTCTTAGGAAGGGTCCTCTTCTGATGTATACATGTTAACTAGGTGAAGACAAAAGTCTAGTCCCCAACTTCAAAAGCAATTTTAAATAATTATATTAGTACCTACATGCCAGAGTTAAATCCCTAGCAGTACTGTTAATATCAGATGTTATAAAGAGTGAGTTGGAAAGTTTGTACCTATTCAGACATTAAAGTCAAATGAAGAAACTGTATCTATACAACAACGGGCTGAGAGGCCAAAGTACCACCCTCATAAACCTGACCATAAATTTCTATATTTGTGCTCTCATTTAGCTGAAATTATTCTAATTTACTGACATTTTTGGTTAGGCATGCCTACATTTTTAAAAATGGTGATTTGTTTTGATATTTAAACTAAAACCTCTAGACCAATCACCAAGTTCACTATTCAAAACCCTTAGTGTAAAAATTTCTATGATCCTCACAAGTAATGGAAAGCCTACTACTTTCAGTTTTCTAATTTATATTTCCTAAATAATTAATGGTCAGATGGTCCCAACAACTAAAGAAAATATAGTATGACCTGGTTTCCCAAAATTGAAACATGGCTAATAAAAATTAAAAAACTGTATTTACACAAAATAGCCTGAAAAATTAAAAACAATGATGAATCCTAGGTCCTAAGGGGGAGGGAAAAACTATCATAAATAAGCTCAAAGTGAAATTTTGGAATTTTGTCCTGTGCCCCGTGCTATTTATTACCATATTTTAAAAACAATTATGTTACAAAGAAGAGGAATTATCATCCGCATTTCTCCTTCATTCAGGTCAGCTTGGCTTTCTTCTTAGCGGGTCCTTTATACCCCTTGGCCTTTCTCCTTAAATTCCGCCTGTCTACAACAGGCACTTCCACTTCTATTTCCTCTGAGCTGCTATCCACAGTTTTTTCTGTTGATTGTGTAAACTGATCCAGTTGCTCAGAAGAAGCTTCAGACTGTTCCTCTGACTGGTTCTTCTGTCCTGCATTCTGCGAAAATGGTACATCTTCAAGTTCAACCTCTATCAAAGAACTCTGAGGAGGAGCCGTAGATGTTTCCTGGGGCTCGGACACACCCTCTTCGCCCTGGTCTTCCAGTGAAGAAGTAGTGTTGGGCGATAAATTTTCAGAGATCGATTCCTCAGAAAATTCAGCTATCACAGAGTTTGGAAAACCACTGTCAGATCGTTCTTCATTTGGGATAATAGCAACGTTGTCTGAACTCCCAAAATGTGCCTTCTTTCTTGGAACTAGCGCTGGTTTCTCTTCTGCATGCCCTTTTTCATCAGATGGGCCTTCGTCTAGCAACATTTCTGAGTCAGTTACATGTGAGGTCTAAAAATAAAAAACCTGGTGAGCCAACTTTTGAAATATAGGCCTTATATAAATCATTCTCAGAAACAAATATGCAATGACACTAAACTGCCTTTTAAAGAATTCAGTACTGCCTGGTCAGCGTGGCTCAGCGGTTGAGCCAATATTGACCTATGATCCTGGAGATCCCTGTTCGATTCCCAGTCGGGCACATGCCCAGGTTATGGGCTTGGTCCCCAGTAGGGGGCGTGCAGGAGGCAGCCAATCAGTGACTCTCGTCATTGATGTTTCTATCTCTCTATCTCCCCCCACTTCCTCTCTCTGAAATAAAGACATATTAAAAAACAAAAAAATTCGGTATTCATTACTATAGTTAATCATGTGTACATATTCTGAATACAACTCAATTTCTTCAAAATAGTCTTTCTGATCATTTGGATACATTACGTTCTTGCTTTAAAGATATAATAAAGAGAGTAATTTTACCTCAAAAAGTACTTAAGATATTTTAAAAAGATATTTTAAACTTCGTATCAAGATTCTTCAAAGCCATGACCCAACTCAAAAGTTTTTACGTTCTTGCTATTACTGGAGGCAGAACCAAGAGTCCCTCGGGAGTTGACACTTGCCACCCCACTAAGTTCTCAGTCCTTCTCTGTCATGCGCCAAAACTCATTTTGTTAGATGACAGGTAAGGGCAATGCAAATTTTATTCCTTTACTTATGTGAGATGCTAATAAAATAATGCTACACAATAGTTTTTTACCCTTAAATTAAAATGTTCAAAATAAAAAATTAAATTTCTTTAAAAATAGTCTATCAAGTTTTTCCCACTAATCTAATCTGTCTCCCTAATTAAAACAAATTAAAATGACTCTGTAAGCAACAAGTATTCAAATATTTGGTAAAAAAAAAAATTTTATCCATTTTTCTAAGCTTTTCCCTTTACAAAGTAAAACTCATTTTGTTACCATAAATCAGATAAGAATAAATAGTTACAAAGATTTGAATTTATGAAATGTTACTGATTGCATCTTTGTAAAATACCAAATCTAGTCTAAAACTTAATTTTCCTAAAGGACTGTACATGTTAAGGTGGAGGAAAGTACACATACTACACTGCCCCTGCATGTCACAAACACTAGAATACAGTAACTATAAAAAACTGGCTTATTTCCCTCTTACCTTATCCTGTGCAACAGCCTCAGGGAGTTTTGAAGATTCTACCACCAGTGGAACAAGATTTGTAGAGTCTTCACTGGAATTAAAAGACTGCAATTTTAATTCTTCATCTAAAACTTCGCTAGTGGAGTCCTCCTCTTCAGTTATAAGAGAGGTCTTAAGAGCATCATCCATTATTTCACCATTCATAGGCTCTAATTCAGATTCCTACACAATCGGGAAAAATAAGGCAGGACACAGTTACAGACTGTTATTTGTCAGGCAAGGTGGGGTCTATTCTCAGTTCCTCTCTGTCATGCACCAGGACTCAAGGTAAATTCTACCACATTACAGGGCAGGGGTTAAAGAACAGTCTTACTGGGGGAGAGGGGAAACTTATGAGGCAGGGTCAATAAAAGAAAAGAATCCATAAGTACCCCAAACTCCCCCTGTTCTCATGGACAGAGAGGACAGGACCCGGATGTACTATGAGGCTGGGTCAGTAAAAGAATCCATAAGTACCCCAAACTCCCCGTTCTCACGGACCCAGATGCACTACGGACACAGTGTGGGCCCGAGAGTCAGTAATGAGACCCTGCCCCTTCTTGCTCTTACAGGACAATCATGCCAGGAACCTTTTCAGTAAAAAGGCACCAGAGAGAGTCTAGATGTGGTGCTGCCTCTTTACAGACCACCAGCTGCTCAGCACTTGGTATCTTTGGGGCCTGCGGGGAGTCAGGGTTTACCCTGCCAGGGGGGAAGAACACTAGCAATCTTATGGGAAGCTGAGTTTGGCCACAGGTTCTTGCAGGGATAAATGAGCCCCCAATCTCAGTTCATTGTTTAGTAAACCCATTTCTGTACAATCCTGCTCCTTACATCATATTAAAATATAGAAAAGTGATCTGATAACACAAACCTTCCAATTTCTGAAAATATTCTAATGTTTACCAATTTACAAGACTTCTATTTAATGTCTAATATTTCTACTCCTAGTGATATTCTAATAATTAGAGGGCATTTTATTACCATTTTTAAAATAAGAAAACTGATGCACTCAAGTGTTCAGAAATAGATTTGGCTGAATTATACAGAACGCTTGAAATCATGTTAAAAACATTTTCCACAGGAAAACTGAAATCAGGGACTTACAAAAATTAATGGCCAGACAGTATACAAAATAGCTTGCACACAGAAGGCAATTACAATAAAACTCATAAAAGGACCAACTAGGGTGGACAAATGTTAAAAGAAAATGAGAAAGACAGAGCAAAAGCTTTAAAAATAGAATTCTGGTAACTAAAAGTAAGAAGCAACTGAAGAGAAATACTCAGTCCAGCTGGTTTTAGTTTTGGGAACAGAATGAAAGATAAAAGGCTCAATACAGAAGTGATAAAGAATAGAGATTACGGTGAATTTAAGATGATAAAAGACATCTGTCTAAACAGAAATATTCAGAAGGCAAATAACTTTATGAGACTACACTCTCGATCAATATTGAAAGTCTAGAGTTATTGGTCATCCTCTTACTGAGCCATTAGATTGGATGCATTTTCAAAAGAGAGTATGAACCAAAGACCAGAAAGTCAAGAACTGAGTCTTTTTGCCTGGCCGGGAATGGCTCAGCGGTTGAGCGTCGACCTAGGATCCTAGGTGATCGGGGTTCGATTCCTGGTCAGGGCACATGCCCGGGTTGGGGGCTGCAGCCTATCAATGATTCTCTCATCATTGATGTTTGTATCTCTCTCTCATCTCCTTTCCTCTCTCTGAAATCAATAAAGATATATTTAAAAAAAGAAAAAAGAACTGAGTCTTTTAGAGTGTCCACAAATAAAAGGGAAAAAGCAGAAAGCAGGACAGTCAAAAAATAAATAAAACCAAAACAAAACGTCAGAAATTAAAAAACCAAGAAACCAAAATACAGCAGTGTTATAGAGCCAGGGGGCTTGAGAGTCTTGGAGAGAGAGAGCAGTCAATCTAGGTAAGGTAATACACTGGAACTGAATGAAAGTGTCACTGGTGGCCTACAACTGGTGGCCTATGTGCTCAATGTATTACTGGACACATAAAACCCATTACATGATGTACAGTTAATATTACATTTTTAAAAGAGAAAACACAAATATATATGCCCATAAGCATCTAGGCACACATAAATCTTTTTAGTTTTTTAATTTTTTATTTTTCAAATACAGTTTACACTCAATATTATCCTGTATTAGTTTCACATGTACAGCAAAGTAGTTAAAAAATCATGTACTTTACAGACTGGTCCCCTCGCCGCTTCAAGTATCCAACTGCCCCATACATATTTATCACAATATTATTGACTATATTCCATATGTTATAATCTACATCTCTGTGACTGTAACTACCAATTTGTACTGCTTAATCCTGTCACTTTTTTCACCCAGCCCCCCAACAGCCCTTCTCTCCTCTAACAACTGTCAGTCTGTTCTCAGTATCTATGAGTCTGTTTTCATTTTGTTTATTTTGTTCATTAGATTTTACATATAAGTGAAATCATATGGTACTTGTCTTTTTATGTCTAACTTACTTCACTTAGCACAATACCCTTTAGGTCCATCCATGCTGTCAAAAGGTAAGAATCATTCTTTTTTTACTGCCAAGTAGTATTCCATTGTGTGTATATATGTAACACAGCTTTTTTATCCACTCATCTACTGATAGGCACTTGGGTTGCTAGACCACCTTCTTACACCATATATAAGAATAAACTCAAAATGGATTAAAAATTTAAATATAAGACCTAAAACCATAAAACTCCTAGAAGAAAATATAGGCAGTAAAATCTCACACTTTTCTCTTAGCAATATGTTTTCTGATATATCTCTTTGGGCAAGGGAAACAAGAAAAAAATAAATAAATGGGACTACATCAAACTAAAAAGTTTTTGCACAGCAAAGAAAACCATCAACAAAACGAAAAGACAACCTACTGAATGGGAGAAGATATTTGCCAGTGATACATATGATAAGGGGTTAATATCTAAAATTTATAAAAAACTCAGACAACTTAACACCAAAAGAACAAACAACCCAATTAAAAAGTGGGCAGAAGACATGAATAGACACTTCTCCACGGAAGACATACAGATGGCCAAGAGACATATGAAAAGATATTCAATATCACTAATCATCAGAGAAATGCAAATCAAAATTAAAATATCACCTCACACCTGTCAGAATGGCTATCACCAATAAATCGACAAACAACAAGTGTTGGCTAGGATGTGGAGAAAAGGGAACCCTAGTGCACTCCTGGTGGGAATGCAGACTGGTGCAACTACTGTGAAAAGCAATGTGGAGTTACCTCAGAACATTAAAAATGGAACTGCCTTATGACCCAGTGATTCCACTTCTGGGAATGTATCCGAAGAAACCTGAAACACTGATCTGAATGAATACATGCACCCCTGTGGTGAATGCAGCATTATTTGCAATAGCCAAGATATGGAAGCAACCCATAAATACCTTTTTTTAAAAATGTACTTTATTTTCCCAATTTTCTCCAAGTAAAGAAAAAAAAAAGCCATTTAAAAATATAGTTTCAAGCCCTGGCCTATGTCACTCAGTGGTTAGAGTGTTGGCCCCAGCACCAAAAGGGTCGCCAGTTTGATTCCCAGTCAAAGGCACATGCGGGAGGCAACCAATCAATGTGTCTCACACATCAATGTTTCTCTCTCTCTCCCCCCCCACTCCCTCCCTTCCACTCTCTCTAAAATAAAAATTAAAAAATCAATGGAAAAAATATCCTTGGGTGAGGATTAACTAACAAACAAAACAAACAAACAAATAAATAAAATATAGTTTTAAGAAGTAGAGGAAGCTAAATTGGTATGAGAAAATAAAATTGGTAATGTTTAGTTGCTGGCTGGACTGGGCAAACAGGTAAAGAGTTTTTAAAGAAACTGAAGCACATATGAAAGAAGAAATAAGGAATCTGCAAAGAGGAAATGATTAAAGACATTAAAGAAAAAGAAGAGAAGGACAGGAAATGAGAAGAAGAAAAAAGATAGAGACAAATATTTGAGGAGCTGAAGAAATCCTTAGTAAGAAAGGATTTTCTTTCTTTCTTTCTAAAGTAAACTTAGTCAGAAAGGATTTTCCTATGTTTTCTAGTGTTTAAAAAAAATGAATTTAGTTATTTTGCCAGGAATCTATAATCAACTGTAGTCAAATAAAGGGTGTTCCAAAAACATATATATACACAATTTAACAGCTGACAGCTTAATTTGGAAAATGAAATGTATTTTAATAAATATTGCCTTTATAATTATTCAAACTGTATGTATACATTTTGGGGGGACACCATATATATATGGGTAACTCATTCATATCCTCCTAACCAAACTAGCGTTGCAATGAGGACCTGTTGGACCTTAAGGCATTCTAACTAATTCCATAAGGTAGATATTATTTGTATCACTTCTTAAGTATGTTTAATTCCAAAAATTACTTTATGTTTTAAATGTACTAAGGTGCCTCACTACCTAAACATTGTCTATTTTATCTTTGCTGTGAGTCAAACTTTTATAAACTGTTTGAAATATAAAATTATATTTGTAACTCTAGCCTCTCCCCATTCCAGTACCTGAATTCGCTTAATACAGATATATGCTTTTTAATATTTAAACACAGTTTCTACTAAGACTCTAAAGTATATAATTATATTTATCTAACAATATACAATTAAGAAAGTTAAAATTTAGTTTAACTCCATTCATTCTATTTAGTAAATGATCTACCTTTTCACCATCCTGCTTCTCCAGATGTGGCTGGGTTTCAGGTGCTGAACGAGCATCTTTATCACTACTTCCGTCCTCAAATTCAATCACACTCCGTTCATGTTCTTCTTCCAGGAATTCTTCTGAGCTCTCTGATGTGCGTGCAGTAGACTCCAATCTAGAAAACAAAAGAAAACCATTCTTGTTTTTTTAAGGATGAATATAAATTTCAGGAATCTGTTAATAAAGGAAGTAATACTTCAGAGAATCAGCTAAGTGGTGTTCAGTCAACAACTTCAAATTTTACAGGTCCCAAACCAATCTCATTCTACAAATTTGTTCTCTTTCCTACGTTGTTCTCTAGTTCAATTAATAACATGACCATCTTTTCAATCATGTAAACTAGGCCTTTCTTTTACTCTATCCATATCTGATCAGATCTTATTCTATTAGAATGAACATGCATCATAGTTTATCTGGGACAGTCTGGTTTATAGCTTTTATCCCAGCATTGGCATATTATAATGCCCCTTTCTTTCTCAAAAATATCAGTTTGGACCATATATGACATGGTTTAGTTCTACCTCCGAATGTGATTTTCAGGCCCCAATTCTCTCTGGAGAATTCTATTAACTTCTCCCCAATTCACCTTTTTTAAAAAATATGTTTTCATTGATTTTTAAAGAGAAAAGAACAGAGAGGGAAAGAGAAACATCAATCGGTTACCTCTCCAATGCACCCCAATCAGAGATCAAACCCACAACCCGGACACCCGGACTGGTGCACAGGACGATGCTCAACCAACCGAGCCACACCAACCAGGGAACCCAATTCATCTCAATACTTGTTCTTTATAAGGTTTTCAGAGCTATATTTCTATATATCTGTACCTATGACAGCCCCACTCAGAAAGTTCTGATGGTTTTCCTATGGCTTAGGGAATAAGGCATACCTCCTTTCAAAGCCTAACATGACCAGAACCTTATATTTTTATCTTCTACTATATGCTACTGTAACAGTGGAAAATTGCGACCCACCCCATCATTCTTTTGACACTGGTTTCTGTAAATGCTGACTGACTGATATGTAGCTTGTAGATACACAGCATGCTTGTATAAGAATCCTAGGAACTAACTTCAGAAGAAGCAGACTCCGACCTTCAGCCATTCTAGTTCTGGGAGATTTGGTGACCTTCAACCACAGAACCAGGATGACACACACCAGTTCACCACTTGAACAGTTTCAAGATTCTTACTGGAATGGACTGTGCTAGCCTGCATGTAGAGAACTTTTCAATTCCCTTCCCTTGATTGCTTTGTCCTACTTTCCCTCTCCCTCCTTATAAAAAACCTCTGTCTGCACTGAGATGTTGAGATGGGCTTTGTGACAAAAGTCCCCCACCTTCTCAGGTGACTGGCACTTAAATAAACCTCGTTCCTTCTTCACCAGCATCTGTCTCTCGAGTTTGGCTTTCATGGTGGCAGGCAGTAGAACCTTGATTTCCGTTACACTACGATTTACCTTATATATCACAGTTATCCTTATCAACATTCCTCTTAGCTTTGTACCTTCACTCACATTATTCCTGTAGTCTAGAACTGCACAATGCAATACAGTAGCCATAAAATACTTGTCACTATTTATATTAATTAAAATTAAATGAAATTAAAAATTCAGTTCCTCAGATGCACTGGCCACACTTCAAGTGCTCAATGGGCACACTGGGTAGTGTCTTCCATATTGGGAAAGGCAGACACAGAACATTTCCTTCATTGCAGAAAGTTCTTTGGACATCCCTCGTACAGATCCAGGGTGAACAAACTTTTATGTTTTGTGGGCCATATGATCTCTGAATAACTACTCAACTCTGCCACAGTAACTCAAAAGTAACCATAATAAACATGTAAACTAATGAGCATAGGTGTGTTACAATAAAATTTTATTTACAATAGGTGTTGGGCCAGATTTGGCCTATGGACCATAGTTTGTGGACCCTTGGGCCAGAAAATCTTCTCTCCCAACTCTGCTTATTAAGTTTCTACCTATCTTTGAAGCCCTAGCCCAAATGCCAAATGTCTCCATACCCTCAATTAGAATCACTCTCTCCTCAGCATTCACAGCCCTTTGCACTTCTGTTATCACACCCTGCAGTGCCCTTAACTTGAGCCACAGACAGATACATGTAATAGAAACCATGAAGCATTCTTCAAGGGCAAAGATGAAATTATGTTCTCTGTACTATCTGAGTAAGCATTCAAGTACTTAGTCTTACTGTTACTATTGTTTATGAAAAGTGAACAAAATTCCACATCATTCTGAGATGTTCAATTTAAGATGCATTGTTATATTTCCTTCTAAAAAAGGTATTACATCAAATGTGGTTCAGTAAGAAAATCATAATTATCTAAATTCTTATTCTTTTCATAAATTACTAAATTTAAATATTTATGTTCTCCTTCAACATGAATTTTTCACAAAAATAAAACATTTATATACTTACTGAATTAAACAAATGCAAAATTATTTACATAATGAAATTAGTATAGCAACAGAATTCTCTACCTGAGTAAAATAATTTCACGGCTAAAATGGCAAAGCTATGAATGGTTGATTCAAGAACAGTTAGTAGGAATAGCAGGGCAGAAGTGTAAGTTTAATACAAAATTTAAAATCTTGCTTTAAGATTCAAAGGAACATAGAAGATACAGTTTTGACCAAGTGTTCTGTTGATTAAGAGGAGCTGACTGCACCATTTACAGTTATCACTAATTTATGTTATATCCAATAACCCAGTGAAATGTATCAGTTATAATGTAAAATTGAAGGTTTTTAAAATTGACTACACCTCAGCATTACTAAAAACTATAGCTACTGTCAAATTCAAAGTTGAAGATAATTATACATTTGGGATAATCAATAGAATATTCTCCTGGATTTTCATGTCTAAGAGACTGAATTATAATTAAATTCCACTCTCTTGCTAACAATTAAATTCTCCCTATTATACTGTCAAAGTGACACCACTGATAAGTAGAATCAATAATCCTGTAGAAAAGTTCAAATACAAACTCCTATACCAAATTCATTTGCTACATGATTAACAACAGCCTCCACCTTAAATACTAATTACTAATAATATGAAAATAAGAATAAACAAAATAATGAGAATAAAATACACAATGCTTTACTTGTTTACTGACACTGTAGAGGAAGTCTTTTCACCTTCCCCTTGAGAACTACTAAATTCACCATCCTGAAACCGCCTTCCAATCTTTGGCCGCTTCAGATGACTACTTCGGGTACGAGTGGAAAGTGTGGTTTTATCATGGCCTAAGAAAAAGACAGCAAAACTACAATTAATTATGTATTCAAAGGATTACCTATTAAAATACACAGAAATGCAAGAACTATGCTAGTTTACGTATATCCCCACCATTACACCCTTCCTTTCTCTCACATCTGACATAAGAAACGATGTCAGGATCTTTTTCCAAATTATGAAAAGACTTTGTCAGTATTCATTCCTCACACTTCCATGTTACTTTGAGCTGTACAAAGTTTTTGCATTTTCACTTATATTCTCTCCCAGCAATCTTGGGAGATAAAAAAGGTAAATGTTACTGTCCATATTTTACAGGTAAGAAAATGAGGAAAAGAGAGGTGCCATCACTCACTCTGTTCACACAGTAAAACCAATGGTAAGTGGGGGCATTAGACTCCAGAGCTAGACTCGAAAGCTGGGTAAGTCTTAACCTGCTCTAAGTAACACTCGCACACACCCCTAATTCTAAGTGTCTCAAACACCTTCTGACAGATCAGCTGAATTTCTTACCTTCAGAAGTGCTTGCAAAGGCATCTTTTAGAGAATCAATCTAAAATAGAGATACAGATTAAAACCAAAAGTTTTAGATCATTTTCATCTCCCTGTGGATCTATTTCATTCAGTGTCAAAGAAAATCTTTTAAAACGTTTTTCAAATAGCACTTTCTGGTACTCACTATTCATCAATTAAGAAAACTTAAGAAATAAAAAGGCTATGTTACAGCCTCAGTTTACCATGAGCCTAAGAACTTATCAGGCCCTTTCATGGGTTATAATGGTAAACACTGGAGTTTCCAGTATTCAGTCCTCAGTTACCTTCTCTTTTCAATCCACATGCTGTCCCTTTGTAATTTTATCTACTACCTTCACTTCAACCTCTATCTGCTAATGAATCCAAACATACAATCTAATTTCCCAAACTTCTTTCTTGATTTCCAAAGCCCTATTTCCAATGAAATATCTCCCCTGTGGATGCTCCATCCAATTTCACATCCAACCTGTCCCAAACCGAAAATATTATTGTAACAATCTTTTCCCAGCCGTATTCCCTCTCTTGTTTAAATGGCAGTAACAGTTCAGTCTGTAATGACTTCTTCCTATCCTTCATTCAGTCAACCACAAAGCCTGTCAATTCTGACTTTGAAGAACCTCTCAAACTTGCCTCCTCCTTTGTATTGCCAATGCTTTAGTTCAGGCCTTTATCATCGTTAACATGAACTTTCTAATAGCCTCCTCACTGCTATCCCTCACTCTAGCCACATGCCCCATAATCCTCTCCACTCTGATGCTAGTGATGCTTCCAAAATGCAAACTGTGCTACTCCTTTACATTACAAAAAAATAATAGTTGGAATGCCCTAGTAACACTTGGCACAGAACTCCCACTCACCTCTTAAAAGCCAGCTCAGCTTGGTTACTACTTCACCAATTCCAGTCCCTGGATAGAGTTAGTCATACTCTTTTATGTACCTGCAATCACTTGCTATGTGCTCTATTATAACAATTATTACCCTACAGTGTATTTGTTTACTTATCTGTTTCCAATAATGGACCATCTACTTCCCCCATGCTTAAAAGACCCATAATTCATATGTCAAGCGCTTGCCCCAGTAGCTACTTTACTATATAAACTGCTATCCAGTCACACACTTATCAAAACCTTATATTATTATGGGCACATACACTTGAAGGTGTGTTTATAACACACAAATAAGATAAAAATCATGTCTTCGGGAAGGCTGTAGCTCAACTAGACAAGGTTAAGACATAGATAAAGATGAATAAACAAAAGGTACAAAAAGCGACGTATGTTTTATGTCTAAAAATAGGAAAAAGCAAATAGAAATACCATCATCTAAAGAATAAACCATGTAGTGATAATCATTTCACCATGTATATCAAAACACAAAGCTGTACATCTTAAAGATATACAATTGTCAATAACACCTCAATAAAGCTAAAAAATACATCATGTAGTAAAAATAAACAAAGCCACTTCCCCATGAGGTTACTGATAAAAATAGAGATATAATACCTTAATATGAGAAATATTTTCCTTGAACTATTAAAATATTAAAGTAATATCAAGAATATAAACTTCTAAAATGAAAGAAAGCCTAACTTATGCTGCCAACCTTATGACATAGTGCAATTTTAATATATTTTCACTGAAATGACACATTGAAAATTATTTGGCTTAATATTAAAATAAACTGAAAAATTGAGTTACAGATTTTTCTTTTATTTTATGTGTATTTTAAATTATTTTTCAAAGAAAATTAAATCCTCAGTAACCAATTAAAAGATGCCAGAAAACTAAAACAGTAGCAATTACCTAAGTTTGTTGAATGAACAATAACACTTACAAAATTAAATATTGACTGAATCTATTTTAAACATAAAAATTATTTCCTACAGTAAATATACAGTGTACCTACAGTTAGTTGCATCTCACTAGATGGACTGTCTTCAGTTCCCACTTCATACTCTGGAACAGATGCAAGACCGTATTCCCCAGACACAGGTCTTTTAGCTTCATTTGGAGAAATTGCTGCATGTACAAGAATTTTACAAATTGTGACCCAATAAATATTTGGCTTAAATTGTAACACTGTTCTGATTTTCACAAAAGCCCTGCAGAGCAGCATAATAGAAGGGTATTGAAAATCTAGGTGTGGGATATCCCCTTTACCAATATCTTATCCTGAAACCTGGCAATTACAAAGAGTCTTACACAGTTATCTGTAGTTTGTGACTTTGAGGAAAGATGCATGAGACTGGGGACTACCTCTGGTCCTCTGATGCCTATTCTGTGCTCTTTCAGTAACCTCTGTTTATTTCTCACCCACCAGTTCCTGCTGATGACATTCTGCTGGGCTATTCTTAGTGACTCAACTATTAACACGTAACAAAAAATCATGTTACATCTGAGGGTCTGTTACTAGAGAGATCACATTGCAGTGCACCACTCCTCTGGACTGTAAGACACATCACCATCAGGCACTGCTACTTTCAAGTGGCACATGTGTTCAAACTAAAAACATTCTTACCTGTAATTTTAAGTGTTTCTCTCTGTAATGCTCTGGTGACAGGTATTCGCTGGCACCAGTGTCCAACACCTTCAACTTCCCAAAGGAGTTCATGGTCTCCTGGATACTTTTCAAAGTATTGCTTGCAAGCTGTAAAACACATTTCGAATTTTCTAGAAATCCCAAATATCAATTGTTTTAGAAAAGAGAAAGAAGATGGAAAGATGAAATCCCAAATATCAATTGTTTTAGAAAACAGAGAGAAGATGGAAAGCTGAAAACTCACTTAATGGGCTAGCATCACTTTGATACCAAAATACCAAAGCAACTCAAGAAAATAAAATTATCCAGTCATCTCATTTACATAAAAATTCTAAATAAAATTCCATGTTAAAGTTTTAACATGACCAAGCAAAAAAAATCCTAATAAAAGATGTGTTTTACCTTTAAAGAGAAAATTACTAAATTTTATTGAAGGATGCAAAAAAACTGAATAAAAGGATTGTTAGACTCAATAGTGTAAAAACACCAATTCGCTCTAACTTACTTTACAAATTTGATGCAATCCTATACAAAATCCCAAAAGTTTCCTTTCAATGGAACTTTACAAAACTTGATCCCAAATTCAAAATGAAAGAAGAAAAGGTTAAGAAAGAACATTGAGGCCAACTGTGAAGAAAAGAATAAAAAAGACTTACCCTAACAGATACCGAGAATCATCATAAAGGCACAGTAATAAAAACAGCCTATATCAGCACTGTCCAATACAGTAGCCACAAGCCACAGGTGGCAACTGAGGAACTAATTTATAATTTCATTTAATTTTAATTAACTTATATCTAATTTATATTAGTGGTTGTTGTAATGCACTGCATAGTTTTATATTAAAAAGATACCACAAAGACACAGATTAGGAGATACTCAGAATAAACCAAAGGATTAGTATTCCAATCATATAAAAAATTCCTAAAACTGAATTAGAAAGATGCAATAACTCCCCCTTCCCAAAACTGGCAGAGGCTGTGGACAGGAAATCCACACATAATGAAACTTGAATGGTCACTAAACAAAGATAAAGATGATAAACCTCACTAGCCGCCAGGAAATATAAGATGAAACAACAAGATACCATTTTCACACCCATCAGATAACAAATAACAAGCATCAGAAGAATAACGGAAATGGACTCTGTTGGTCTGAGGACAATTTTGCAACATTTAGTAAAAGAATTAAGTTACAAAATATATTTTAATGAAAATAAACAGGCCAGCATGGCTTAGTGGTTGAGCATCGACCTAGGATCCAGGAGATCTCGGTTTGATTCTCAGCCAGGGCACATGCCTGGGTTGTGGGCTTGATCCCCAGTCAGGGGCATGCAGGAAGCAGCCAATCAACGACTCTCATCGTTGATGTTTCTCTCTCTCTCCCTCTCCCTTCCTCTCTCTGAAATCAATAAAGACATATTAAAAAAAGAAGAAGAAAATAAACAGCTGATGTTAGAATAAAAGCAATGGTAAATTGTATGTCATAAAAGTTATCAAGTAAATTACTTTCCAGAATTAAATCTTACTACATTAAGGAAAAAAAATTGTATGGAACTTACATAAATATAAATCCACTAATAGTTTTTAAAGCATCACTACATGGTATAGCCATACAATGGAACACTAAACAGGATGGAAAATGAATAGAGCTTTGTGAATCGACATGAATGAATCTCATAAACATAAAGATGAGTAAAGAAAGGGAACTACAGAATTCATACAGTACTTTTCATTTATATAAAGTTTTAAAATATTTAAAGTAATATGACATATTGTTGGAGGATATATACATATGTATTAAAAGCCTAAGAAATGCATGAAGAAAATAAATGCCAAATCGAGGACAGTGCTATTTCAGGGAAGGGAGTAAGCTAATTGGGCAGGAGTACAACTGTGCTGGCAATGATCCATTTCTCATGGATGGTACATGCTGATGGTACGTAAGTATTTACCTAATTTTTTATACCTTTTGTATGTCTGAAATTTCTTTTTTAATTTCAAAACTACCACAAATAACCCAAAGAAAAAATGGTCCAATAATCTAAATAGGGATTTCTCCAAAGACGACACACAAATGGCCAATACACACATGAAAAGATGTTCAACATCGAGTGCAAATCAAAGCGATGAGAGGCCACTTTGCACCCACTCGAATGACTATTATAAAAAAAGTAGATAGTAAGTGTTGGTGAGGATGTGGAGAAGCTGCAAACCCTCACATATGGTTTACGGGAATGTAAAACTACTGCAGCTGCTTTGGAAAACAGTCTGGCAGTTCCTCAAAATGTTTAACTTAGAGTCGCCATCTGACCCAACACGAGAAATGTCCACACAAAAACTACGCAAATGTACACAGCAGCAATATTCATAATAGCTAAAATGTAGAAACAACTTTAAAAGTCCATCAATCGGTGATGGATACACAAAATGTGGCATATCCATCCAATGGAATGTCATTTAGCTATAAAAAGGAACGAAGCACTGATTCGTGGTACAGTGTAGATGAATCTTGAAAACAATTACACAAAATAAAAGAAGCTTGACACAAAGGGCTTATAATATAATCATATCACATGATTCCATTTACATGACATGTCCAGAGTAGGTAAACCCAAAGAGACAGAAAATAGATTAGTGGTTGCTAGGTAATGAAGAAATGGGGGAATGGACAGTGACTGCCCGCTGGTGCAGAGTTTCTTTTTGGGATGATGAGAATGTTCTGGAATTACAGTGGTTACGGTTACATAGCCACAGGGTGCGCTTTATGGAATATAAATTATAGTTCAATTCTTTTAAAAAGCTACCATATACATGCGATAAGGACACATTTGCAAAATTAAGCTCTAGGGTACCAAAGAATCAAAATGTATTTAATACTGATATGTACACATTTACAATATTCTGCAAAAACAAGTCAGAAGTGACACTGAGACAAGTTTAACATTTTTAACTCAATCCATTTACCTGTGTACATTAGAGAGGACAGTGGATACCGCAAGCCAAGTGCATCTTCTGTAAAGGAATCGACAAAGTCCTCCAGCATATGAAGCCCAAAATCTTTGCCTCGATATTTCTTTCTTATAAACATTGTATCAAGAACTGGCAGCTGGTAGCTTTGGGTAAGAAATGAGGCACATATGCTCCCTGCAATCATAAAAACAGAAAAAGCCAACAATTTTTCACATTAGAAGACTATATATGTATATACTTTTAGAAAGCATGAGTTGACAGTCTTTCTAAAAATGGTTGGTTTTTCGGTGGACAAGAAGGGGTGCTATTTCAAAAAGTTCCCTCCATCCCTTTTATGGCTAATCCATCCATCCTGGGACACTGATTTCTGCCACTACAAATTAGCTTTTACTTTTCCAAAATAACAAATGGAATCATACAGTATATTTTCTTAGTGCCTGGTTTCTTTCTCCCAACACAATGAATTTGAAATCTAGTACATGCTATGCCTATCAGTATAGTATGCATGATACGGATTTAACTGAACTGTTTACTTTTTTTTAAAAATTACTTTTATTGTAAGAATATTACAGATGTGCCCCATTCCCCCACCACTACCTCTTGGCCCACGTTGGCCTGGCTCCTACTATTTGGGTTGTTTCCAATTTGGGTTGTTTCCAATTCTGTCAAGCTGCTTTGACAATCTCTTTTTTAAAAAAATTGTTTAAGGGGGCGTGGGGTGCTATAACAAAACTAACCTAAAGTAACTTCACAGGGTGATCTGATCATAAATTCCAAACTGGACAAGTCATGGTGGATAGTCACACCCCAGGCACATAATTTCTTTAGTGAAAGGTCTATCTTTGCCTTAAGCAAGCCCTGTCCGATGTTTTTGTTCATCAACATTAACATACTTTTGAAATGCCTCATTTTCAGAGCCCTTGGAAGCCTAACCACCCTCAAGAGAACACATATCTTAACTAACCTATAATCCAATCCCCACCCTGCTCTTCAGGTAATCTTCCTTACATTCCCTCCCTAATTCCAAGTACATAAAAGAAGCTGGAAACTGTCATTCTGGGAAGCATTATTCTCTGTGGAAATCTTGATTCCCAGCACTGTCATCAGTTTGGAAAATAATGCAATAATTAGTAAATAATAATACAAGAATAAACTCTGTTTCATGTACTCACAACTTAAACCTACTTTTGCCCCGCCCTGTACATATTCATTGCAAAAAAACATGCTGATTCTCTTCCTTTGCCTACACCTTAAATATTTAGACTTTGTATAAGGGTCACACAAAGGCAATCAGATAAAGGGCAGAAAAACTCCATGGTACCAGAGATCTTCAGACACGTCAACAGCTGTAGACAATAGCACAATTACCTTGAATAGCAAAACCACAACTGCTACCTTAGGTGAAATTTTCATTACATTAAATTTATTAAATGAAATTAAATTCAGCATTGTACATGATAACAGAATATTTATACTCCCCAAAGTTCCATCTTTGACTACCTTCTCTTCCTATATGCACTTTCTGGGTAATTTCACCTACTCCCAAGGCTTCTACCATTTATCCAAATACTGATGTCCACTAATCTTTAATTTCTATAATGCCTGAGACTTACTCCAAGAATGGAAGACATCATATAAATGTGAATATAACAAAGACCACATGATCACCTCAATAGATGAAGAAAAGGCATTTCATGAAATCCAACACCTTTCATGATAATAATACTCAGCATCCTCAAGCTGATAAAGAGATCTATGAAAAACCCACAGCTAACAACACATTTAATGGTGAAAGGCTGGATGTTTCCTCTTTAAGATTAGGAACAAAACAAAAATGTTCACTCTCACCACTTTTACTCAACATTGTACTAGAGGACGGGTAATTAGGCAAGAAAAGAAAATAGAAGGCACCAGATTAGAAAGAAAAAAGTAAAATTATGTTTGCAGATGATATGGCCTTATATATAGAAAACCTAAGGAATCCACTAAAAAATTATTAAAACTGATACAGAAGTTTAACAAGGTTGCAGGATCAATATACAAAAATTAATTGTATTTCTATATATCAACAATGAACAATCTGAAAATGAAATTAAGATAACAATTTTATATCTAATAGCATCAACAATAAAATTCCTAGGAACAAATTTAAGGAAAGTGCAAAACTTATAGACTGAAAACTATAAACATTGTTAAAAGAAATTAATGAACATCTAAATAAACAGGAAAACATACCATGTTCATGGATCAGAATACTTAACATTGTTAAGATGTCAACAACACTCCCCAAATTGACCTACAGATTTAAAATCCCTGGGTTTTTTACAGAAATTGAGGTGACCCTAAAACTGATATGGAAATGCTAAGGACTACAACAGGAACTTGGGTTCCTTCTATCTATGGCTTCCCCATCCCCTAGGTCCTCAGAATCCTTTGCAATCGGCAGAAAAATTTAAAAAAGGGATGCATCTTAACCCCTTTGACCCAATGTCATACATATCATTTCTTTAATTACTTTGGGGAGAACTAATCACACAGCCCCCCCCAACTGTGCAAGTGACTAGAAAATATAATCTCCGACTAGGCAGCTGCTGGCCAATGACCAGAATACAGAAGAAGAAGCACAAATATTTGGTGGGCAGCTAGCAGCCTCAGCTAACTTTCCCCTTTCTTTTATCTCCTAACAGACTAACACTTCCTTTTTACCTTAGTTTATGTGCTGCAGAAGTGAGGACACCTCCTTTTTAACTTCTGGAAATCAATGATCACATCTCATCAGGTGGCACCTTTTGCTGGCTGACTCCCTCCCACAGTTACATTTGGTTACCTCAGGTTGTTTTCAGTAACTTACTTATATCCTCACAGCAATATTCACAAACACACATACTTCATACAGTAGTTTTGACTGATCTCATCCATATTTTAAAAATACGGTGACTTCTGTGGCCCACAGAAATATCCCCACCTCCCCCATATGGTACAACTTACATTTCTAACTATGTACTTTCCCTACTTACATGTCCCATAGGCACATTGAACATTACACGCCAAACGGAACTCAAGTATTACCAAATCCACTCTTCTTTCTATATTCCCAATCTTAGCTCACAGCTTTCTACCTAAGCACCCAAGCCAAAACCCTCAAGATTCATCACTGGTTACTCCCTTTCCCTTCTGACACATGGAGTGACTGCAAAAAAAATCTCCCTCAGATGTTTCCTTCTCTATCCCTACTGCCACTTTCCTAACAGAAGTACTTCTTTCACCTGGAGTACTAAAATAGCTCTTTAATTGACTTCAGAATACAGTTTCCCTGCCCACCACAAAACACTACAAATATTATCTCCCTAAAATATTTAACCATGTTACCTCTACATAAAATTCTTTGATAACTTCCTTGCCAATAAGATAATGTTCCAAAGTTGAGTATGGCATTTAAGACCCTTCACAAGTGAACCGCCACCTTCCCCTCTTCCCATTCCACAATCCTACCCTCTAGTACCACCAGCTTACTCAGGTGGTTTCCCAAATATACTTTCATGACTCCGTGACTTCATTCTTTCACTCATATATTTACTAAGAATGTTCTTTCCCTTCCTCCCTTCTTTGCCTAACATCCTACTTATAAAGGCACTTTTTTAAAAATTGATTTTTAGAGAGAGAAAGAGAGAGATGTGAGAAACATCGGTCAGTTGCCTCCCACAAGCACCCCGACTGGGGATCAAATCCGCAACCTGGGTATGTGCCCTGACTGAGAATTGAACCCACCACCTTTTGGTGCACAGGACGATGCTCCAACTGAGAAAGGTACTATTAAATACCACTTTCGGTGACACCTCCCTCCAGACAAAATTAGCTGCTCCACTCTTCAATGACTACTATTGTCGATGCCTCAAATACAGTGCTTATCAAACTGAATTACGACTAGTTGCTGACTGATTACAGTTTCTGTGTCATCCACTATATTTTGGTGCTTTGAGGCCTGAAGCAATGACCTCCATCTTTGTGTCTCCACTGCGTATGGAGTCAGCCCTACCTCTCCAATAAACAGAACCCTTACTAGAAAGCACGTGCTTTTATAGGTGGCTAGGACTTCACCTGAAAACACAGTGGCCACCTCATTTCCCAAGGACACATTTCAGGTAGCTACAGTGTAGTGTGGGACTCCCCCATTCCTTTGCTCATTTCCTTTAATAAGTATTATATCTAACCAGACGCAAGGCCCTAAAATATAATGGCAAGCCTTTTCCAACAAAAACGTCTGCTATGTTTTGCTTTTAGCTATACTAGCAATCCTTATCATTCTATATCACAGCTTTGTTATTCTTTAAGATCATCTCAGGGCCAGAAATCTGACCTTAATGAACAGGAAGTGAGTGATCTGTCCAAAAAATAGGGAAGATCAAAGATATAGTGCTCAGTAAAACATAAGCTGACTAGCAAATGAAGGGAAACAGTGCTCCCATTATAAGTCATTTCAAATGGAGATTACAAAAACAGGTCTCCTAGTACTGATCGTAAGTCCCTTCGACAGTGAGTCAACAAACTGATTTATAGTAGTTGATTAGATTATGCTTCCTCTATATGCTTCTTTGATTGTGCTTTTCCCCAAAATATGGGTCTTCAAATTGGATCAAGGTGGTTTACATTTGGAGCCAAATAATGGACATTTCCAAAATAGCAACTATTAATGGTATCCTCAGCTTTTGTCTTTCTCTCTCCACTTGTTTACACGAAAATGTGATACCTGTTTTATACAGATTTGCATCTTTTCTATTTCCTGACAGAAGGCAAATTTCAGCTTCCACTGAAATAACAATGGGCATTCTTGTTTTATTTTGTTTTGTTTTTCATAAGCTATGAGGGTTTTTTTTAGTTTTCTAGTTAGAACAGCTCTTTTGACAGGTGGATGTGATCACTACAGGTCCCATGAGGATTTATAAAGTTCAGCTAGTTTTGTGAGACATTAATAAGACTCTGGGAATAGTTCCATTTCATAAAATGCTCAGTTTTTAATCAGTTTTACATGAACATTGTTTACAGTACAATAGCCCTATAAGACTCTTTGGGGAATAAGCAATCCTTTGACTGCCTCCCTGCTCCAAACACACAAACACATTCTCCATTCTCGAGAAAACAGCACTTTGAAATCGTTTAACTGATATTTTTGGTTT